CACCACAAAATAATAGAGGTATTGGACATTGGACACAACTTGCTTGGTGGCAAACTTATCAAGTTGGGTGTGGAATTGGACGTTGCCCTAAATATAACTCTTATGTTGTTTGCCAATACAAGCCACCGTAATAAATATGTAATTTTATAGTTACAATTAATTATTTTAGTGGAAATGTTTATCCAACATGTGTTTATCATGCTGGGGAGCCTTGTACAAGTTGCCCAGATAAATGCGATGATGAAACCAATCTTTGCCTTAATTGATGTAAGATGTGAAATTTTTAAGGATAAATTATAACGATATATGTAGTTGAAAAGTTTATGTGTTAATAATTGTTAATAAAAGATTTTATAATAAAATTTAACTAATAATAAAATAATTCAATTGGTATGTTCGACTTGTATACAACATTAGTGTAGGTGTACACCAGGGCTGGGCAAACTCTAAAAATAAGATGCAGAATGCGAAACTTTTTAAAAATAATAGAGGGGATTGGACATTGTACATAAGATGTGAAATAAATGTGATAGTAAAACAAATTAGTTAAACATTCTAAAATATTTTATTCATATTCAAAATTATAAATTACTAGAATGTAATTGAAGATCTGAGGAAGAGTCTTTCTTGAAGAAGACTCTTCCTTAGATTGCTTACTATTACGGCAGGCCGAAACTTGAGGACCGATTTTTGCGAACCGAAACTTGCGGACCCGACAAATTTCTCAAAACATAGCTCTTTCGAAAGAGCTCGACGAGCTGAGTCGAATGACATCAAAATCATCGTGATTGTGCAAGCTTGGATAAAGTTACGATAGAAAAACAAAAACCTAAACCTATGGTCCGCAAAAGTCGGTCCGCAAGTTTCGCACTACCACTATTACTCCTGCTCTCACCTGTCCAATATCCATAGATTAAATCAGGGTCTCATTCGTACTTTTTTAAAAGTATTCTACTTTTAAATCGACCTCCATACTTACGAAATTGAATTTGTACTTTTTTGAAAGTATCTACTTTTAAATCAACATTTTTGAAAAAACGAAGAAATCTGGCTTAAAGACCTCCAAAATTCTCAAAATTTTCACCTGCGGCGCAAAAAAAGGAAGAATACTTTTGATTGGCATTTTGTCAAACGGAGCTCAGTAAAAAAGAAATTATTAGAAAAGATTAATTTAGATGAGAAATATGAAACATTTGAGCACGAATAAATATTTTCTAATTTAATCTTGAGTATACTTTTTGTTTGGAAATTTAGTCCCTATCTACTTTTTAATCAAGATTTTGATACTTTTGATTGGCATTTTGTCGATCGGAGCCCTGGATTAATCACTAGTAAAAGCTGTCCAGACAAGTGAAAAGCTCCCCAGACAAGTGAATCAGAAAAACCATCTAACCAGAATCAGAAAAAAACAATCTAAAATTTGTTACTATTTAAAATATCAGAATTCGAATGTTGAATATCTAATAATTTGGTTAATTTCATACACTGCTCCACATTAGTATAAGTTCACCCCTTTTTCAAGATTTTTTATTTACAATGCTCCAAATTTTCTGAAAATTTAGATACACACCTTTTAGCTAACATATTCTTGTACTATAATTTATATTGTAAAATAAAATTATTTATTATAATAAAATTTAAAATCAAATTAAATTATAGTTTTTATTTTATTTGATTAAATTTTAAGAAAAATTTTAACAAAAGAGATTGGAAATAAAATAAAAAAAATTTATAGAAATATTAAAGTTTTATTTGATTTTAAATTAAAAAAATTTTTAAAGCTTTTATCAAATAAAAAATTATTTTTAATATTTAATTCCGTACGTATGTAGTGTTCTTTTCAAAATTTTTAAATTTTTTAAAACATTTTCGGTGCAATTCAATTTTTAGCGACGCTTTTTTTCAGAAATTTTGAGAAAATTTGTAAAAAATTATTTCATTCTAAAGAATCCCGAAAATATAAAATATCCTCATAATCTTCAAAAAACCACAAGATGAAGAAAAATCCGCAGAAATCGGATCCCTAAATTAAATAATTTGAAAAAATGCTAACTTATTCAATAATAAATAAATAGCCCGTTCAAGTTTAAATGCACTTTTGTTTAAATTTTTTGAAAAATTTAATTAATTTATTTAAATTCACAGTTAAATAAACAATAGTTAAATGCCTGGACCACACAATTATTAAATGTGTGGTATAAAATTTTGCTATAAAAGCCAGAAATTTTAAATTTAACTCAAAACATAGCATAAATTAATTAAATATTAGAGCTTAAATAGTTAAACAAAATGTTTATTTCATTATTAGCTATCTTGGCATTGTCTGCCATTATGAATAATGAATGTATTATTTAATTTAATTTAAAAATAAAAATTCTGTTTAGTTACTAACGCAATTGATCAAGCTGGACGTGATGCAGTAGTTTATTGGCACAATTATTTCCGTGCTGAATTAGCTGCGGGAAGGGTTAAAAATAAAACTGGAGAGTTTTTGCCAAAAGCAAAAGATTTGAAAAAAATGGAATTTTCTTTAGAACTTGAAAAGCAGGCACAGGAATGGGCTGATAAATGCACTTATAGTCATTCGGACCCATATGGGAATTATGGAGAGAATTTCTATGCTTATGCAAGAAGGGACGATGATGGTATTTAATTATTTAAATAAATCTTATTTCAGATAAGTGGAATTATGCTGGGTCCCTTCTAAAACCAAACATAGGCACATAAAACCATTATATTCCCTAAGGATAACTATTGGGTTGGCCAGACCCTAGTTATAACCTTTACCAAGCCAAACCGGTTGCTTCTCTTTGGGGCACATTAAAGACTGACTAACTGGGAACTGATTTATTAGTGAAAGAATAAACATTATATAAACATGAGCATGTGAATGGGAGGTGTCACAGGAAATAGCGATAAATATTAATTAAAGTGTAATGGTTGGGAAAATCCATTAATGCATAATGCTCGCCCAAAAGATCACCTTTGCTTAGGCAATCAACGGATATACCTTACATTTCTCTAAATTAAAGCTGCTGCCATCGAGTATGTAGTAAAAGGATGGTGGTCAGAGTTGGAATTCAGAGGAGCTTTGGGACCTTACCCTGGCCAAGACTGCATTCCATTTGATGCACCTCAAAATAATAGAGGTATTGGACATTGGACACAACTTGCTTGGTGGCAAACTTATCAAGTTGGGTGTGGAATTGGACGTTGCCCTCTATATAAAACTTATGTTGTTTGCCAATACAAACCACCGTAATAAATATTTACTTAATTTTCTATAATTAATTTTAGTGGAAATGTTTATACAAGATGTGTTTATCATGCTGGGGAGCCTTGTACAAGTTGCCCAGATAAATGTGATAGTGAAACCAAACTTTGCCTTAATTGATGTAAGATGTGAAATTATTAATGATAAATTATATAGTTGTAAAAGTTTATAATGAGTTAATAATTGTTAATAAAAAGATTTATAGTAAAATTTAAATAATAAAAAAAATAATTCAATTGGTCTGTTCGACTTGTATAGAATATTAGGGTTGGTGTACACCAGGGCTGGGCGAACTCTAAAAAGAAAAATGCGGAACTCCACCTCAGATTGTTTACTAAAAATCCTGCTATCACCTGTCAAATATCCATAAAAATCACTCTTAATGAAATTGCAATATCTGGTTCATTTTTCACATTCGAATCTCTTGATATCCTCTTTAATCTCAAACATATTTTCTGCGCGGCAGGCGAAAATTTTAAGAATTTGTAAGGCCTTAGGAGAAAAATTCAATTGTCAGAGCCACAGGTAAAAATTTTTTTGAAGTTTATGAAGCCTTATGAAGCCAGAACTTTTCAATTCTTTGCGTCGCAGTAAAAAATTTGAGCATTTTGGTGTCCAAAGAACAATATTTCCTCCAAGGATATCCTTATATCCTTCCAAATTTGAGCTTTAGTAAAAATATTTTTGTTGATGGAAATTGATCTCATCATTCATGAAAGTGAATTTTATTCTTTTCAAACATAAATTTTTGATAGGAAAAATTACTTTGTATGAGTTGTGTTTTAGAAAAACAAACAAATTTGTTTACTCTTTATTATAATAAATTTATATATTTACGTGTCGATTCACTAGGAAACATTCATATCAAAAAATTCCTTGTTATTTTTTAAAAATATCAATGCTTAAATATTTAACAAATTGTAATTCTTTTTTAATTACTCGCTCAAATAGAGCTTTATACAAAATATATACATGGTTCTACACACATTTTAAACGGCAAGCTTTTACTGAAAATAAAATTTTTTTATCAAATATTTTTTTTTTCGGGAATACAGCAATTTTCCCTTGTTTATCAAATAATTTCTTAATTCACACGGGATTCATTAGAATATCATACAATGATAGCTAATCCAAGATAATTTTCTTCAACTGCTTCCTAAGCCTAGTTAATTTTAATTAGAGGGGCCAGCCCTAATTATTAGAGATGTTGATGGTAATGCGTGCGGTGAATAGAATAGATTTGCCAGAGGTGAAGATTATTGGTTAACCACTTGGTCAGGCTTATAGGCGACCTAACACTAGGCCATTGATTACTGAAGAACTAAGTTGGAATGAACATCAACTAAGCTGCTTTTCCTTAGTTTCCTTTAACTTACATGCACCTTCGTTCTAGGCGGGGTATTACACCTTTGAGCTTTACAACAACCAATTTCGGATACATATCAAAATTATAATTTCTCTTTTATTCTTTAATTTTCTGTCCTAGTGAAGTTAGTCTCGACTGTACAAAAACTTTATAATTCCTGTTCCCTTGTTGATTTAAATAATTTTTTATTATTAAAGGAACCGAGGTTTTCGACTATTTCTGGTCTTAGCTGCATGTTTTCTTCCTATTTTGCTTTTTCTCAAATATACAAACATTAATCTACTTTATTTACTACATAAAAATGAAAGCATTTTGACTAATTTTACATTGGCTTTTTCTAATGTACAAAAACATTATAAAATGGAAAAGCCAAGGATTGATCCTTGTATTGGAAAACAAATAGAGCTTGCTGTGTTTGTTAATACTAGAAGAGAATTGTTTCATAGACGTATGGGAATTAGGAATAGTTGGGCTAAAGATGCGGTAAAAAATATTTTAAATTATTTTTTCGGATAAATTTATTTATTATTATGTGTTCTAACTATGGTAGCAACCTGAGCCTTCACGGGCGGGATCGTCGTGGATCGGGGTTTGCCGGGGTAGAGCCTTCGGAGTTGGTGTTGTGGTTTTTGCCAAAAAAGATTGTCGGGGATGGGGGTCGGGTCGGGGTTTTCCTGCACAGGCGGGATAGTCGTGGATCGGGGTTTGTCGGGGTAAAGACTTCGGGGTTCGTGTCGGGGTTTTAGCTTGAAATTCGTCGGGGGTAGGGGTTTCGGGGTGCTACTCTAGTTTGAACGATCCAATGTTCGAACAAATTTTTAGTAATTAATTGATTAAGACATTTACTTCCATTACTTAACCTTGAAAAAGTTTAATAAAGGGAGATTTTCATTGTAGAGAAGTTCGTTATACTAGTTAGCTGTATATATAAAATGAAATTTTAAGAGTAAAAATATGATAATTCGTTTTGTGATTGGAGATCCAGTATTGGAAGAAGAGGAAGGAAAAAAATTTGATCTATTATTGGATGAAGAACAAAAACAATTTGGTGATTTGATACGTTACTATAATATAACGGAAGGCTATCATATGTTGCAATTTAAAGTATTTTTTTATTAAATTGAAATTGTTAAATAAATTGAAATTGTTAAATACATTGAAATTTATATAATTAGACTAATTGTGAATATTAGAGATCGGCCTGAGACTGAACCAATGCCTGGGTTTTTCCTGTACCCAGAGTCCATGCCCAGGCATATTTTGACCTCCTGGGTTTTTCCTAGACTACAGGCCCAGGATCCGGCCCAGGTCAATAAATCAGACCCAGAACCCAGGAATAGGCCCAGGCATTTCAAAAATACCGATCTTTAGTTAACATATATGTAGTAGTTTCCTATAAGCTTCAGGAGCTATATTCTCACATTCAAGATTAGAAAATCCAACAAAAATCGGTTCTGAGATTGTTTTTTAGTATCAAAATTCACTTATCGAAACAATAACATTAGGTAGGTGCTGCTTTTCAATGGCAACAAAAATGGTGCCCTAATGCGGAATATGTTATGAAAACTGATGATGATGCAATCATTGATCTGCCTCGTTGGGCATTCTGGAATGAGAACAAATTTAAAAAACAAATGAAAGAAACTGGAACTGGCCTAGCATTTTTTGGATATTTAGTAGATGAAACACCTACAATAAGGGAAAAGGACAATAAATGGTAAGGATTATTGTCTTATGTGTGTTTACATGGCATAATTCTTGATTTACACCATGATAGAAATGATTAAATTAATTTAGGTATTTATCTAAGGAGGAATATCCAAAAGAATTTCTTCCAAAATATATGCATAATACATTCTTTGCAAACAGTAAAACGATAAAATTAGTGATGAAACACACAAAAGAATTTTATGGAATACACATTGAAGATACTTTATATGCTGGAATAATAGCTAAAAAAGCAAATATTTCTCTTTTTGATCTGTCTCAAGTTCATATTCGGGAAGAGAATGTTTGTTTTTATTAAATTTTACTAAATAAAAATAGTTTTTAGTTGGTGGATAACGAAAAATGTGAACTTGGAAAACCTAAAATCTTCAGTATATTACAAAAGACACTTACAAGTAGTACAGAATATAAGGAAGAATATAAAAAGCTACATAATTTAAAATGTAATAAAAATTATTAATTATTCAAAGGTTTATAAAATAAATAAAAAAATATACATATAATTAAATTAATTTGCTTGCAATAGAGCGACTCTCGGTGCTTCCCTAGTTTACATTGCACGTCGTTTCATTCACGTTTTACTACCTAATAAAATTTTCGATTACAAATTTAACATTTTTTAATTCAATAATTTTTATACTGATATATATTAGGAAATATTATTTTACTATTTTACAATTCTTATTATTATAGATGTTTTAATTTTTTAATTATACATATAACACTTCCACTAATATTTTAGTATATTACAATTAATTATACATTAACTTACAGAAACAATAAATACACTAAATAAATAATATTATTTTAATTTTAAATTATACTTTATGTAAGATGTTTGTTACTTTTATACTCTTATTTATTTTATACTCAACGTAAAATTTTGTTATGTTCAATTAGTTTGTTATTAATGATATTAAAATATAGTTTGAATAAATGATATATTTTATTAATTATAAATGCTTTTGTTAAGCTTCATTGCATTGTATATTCCAGGGTTGCGTCGTAATCTACTAATTCCACAAAATTGAAAATTAATGTTTTCTGTAAATTAAAGTTTTTTGAAGTTTATCTATAATAAATAGTAAAAATGAGACCTTTAGCAAATAATATTAAACTCAGAATTTAAAAATTATTTTGAACATATTAAAGTGATAAATCCATATAATTAAACATAAAAATATTTTTATATTTTTTCTGAAATTTGCATTATAATGTGAAACTTCGTTAGGTATTTACTTTTAATTTGTATTTATTTTAAATTTGATCTACAACTAGAATAAGGATATAGAGATACAATCCATGATGTCCTATGAATGCAGAAATAAATTTGAGATCGCCGGTTATATTATTTTATATTATACAATTTAATGTAAATATATTTATATCAATTGTTAATTTTAATTTCTAATAATTAATTACTTTTTATTTTCTACACAAAAATCAACATAACTTCATAAACATTGTCAGGTTTGTTCTGAATATTTACAATTAGGGGCGTAGAAATAGTCGTCCCAATCATCTGACAATAGATCAAATTTTTTATGATTCTTGGACTGTTAATAAATGGCTAACATTATTTCTAATAAATTTAAAATTGAGAAAAAATTATTGAAAATTTAATTATTCTTACATTTAAAGAAATATAATATAAAATTTGGAATTTTTAATTTATATTAATTAAAATAATGTTTGTTTTTATATAATCATAATTAATTTTTAAATTATTAGATAAATGTATTTTTATATAATTAATAAATTAAAATATTATTATGTTTAAAAAATTATTATTGTATAACGTTTATTCCATGTACATTTCCGTTATAGTGTTGATAAATCAAATTGAATCGAAATCAAAAAATTTGAAGGACATAATTTTTTAATTTAATAAAATTAATATGTACATTTAAATGAAAATATTTGAAGGAAAATGTGAATATTTTCTATAGATAATATTTTTTATAGATTATTTAGTGTTAAATTAGTATCATAAATAAATTCGATAATCTTTTTCAATTTTCAAATGTTTATTAATCTTATAAATTTTTACAATGAATTATTATCACTAAAATAAGTATTAAACACAAATGGTCGAATTGATTTTACCTCAACTGCCTTTTTGATTTTCTATTTTTTCGATATTTTTTAAATTGAATTTTATGTAAATTATTCGCAATATTTTGATTGTTATATTTTATTTTAATAATTACTAAATTATCTTTAAAATTTTTAGAAATTAAAATAATCACTTGTTTCACGTAATTAAATAGAGATTGTATAAAAAAATTAATTGTTAATAAATTAATTGTTTGAAAAAACTAATTGTTAATTTGCTATGAATTGTCATCTTTGCAGTTCAGAATAATCTTCAATAGTACATCTGCATATTAATTTATCGAGTAGTAATTTTTATTTTTATTATTGGCATATTATTATTACATTAATTTTTTATTAATTAGTTAAGTTTTTATTAATAGCTGGAATCTCCATAATCAAAAAAATCACTCATTGCTTATGTATATTATTTTTAATAAACATTTAGATGAACATCGAATATATACCTATGTATATGGAGAAATATTTTTATTGAAATTTTTATAAAATTAAAAAAATTATTTTAGTTCATGTATTTAATAATTATTTCTATGTTGAATTTGAAAAATATATATTTTATTCTAATTATTTCATTGAGATTTTAATTTTTAATATTTGAAGAATTTGGGCATTTAATATTTCCAAGCAATTTCACAACAAAAATTTTAATTTTGAAATATAATAAATGAAAATTTGCTTCTTTTAAAGTTTTAAGCACAAAAAACTCTATCAGTATATCCACAATTTACATATTTATATAAATAACTAATTAAAATTATGTTTCGGAGGAATATTAAGCTAACCGCTCACATTCTATCCTTCAAATTTTTATAAAATATAATATGCTAATTTATATCAAATTATAAATTTACTTCACTCAAATTACTCAAAGAAGTCAAGTTTAAATTTTTTATATTTTTTAAAGTGTGGTTTAGAATCGTTTTTTATATTTCTTCACTCGTAAATATTTATTAGAAATTTTTGAAATTTCAAAATCATTTAATTTACATTTATACTTTAATAAAAAAACTTATTCACAATTTATATAATTATTTCGCTGTAGACATCCTTTATGGTTTCTTTATAAACATAATTTCTTACAAGTTGATTAGTTTCTGTAAATTAACATTATTTTAATTTTTATGATTCATGTGAATTATTTAGCGACCAGCAACATAGGAGATATAATTCTCAAAGAATATTCTTATATATAAGAAAAATTTTAATAAATTATATTTATAAGAGTTGCTTCAATAGGCTTGAATATGTTTATTATGATTTTATTTGATATAAATAATTTATACTTGTGTTATTATTTCACGTATACAACTCCACCATTTGTACCTTTTTCGTTTATATAGAAATTCCTCCGTGTATTGGTAATTTATCTTATATTTTTGTTGAAAATTATGAATAATAAATTTTATTTTATTAATATTTGCAAAAACAATTACCTGCAATTTATATTATCTATGTATAATGTTTCAATTTTAATGATAACCTATAAGGCATTTTTATATTATTATATAGATAGTAATATACAATTTCAGTATAAATATAATAATCCTGAATATAAATTCTTCAAATTATTTTAACTTGATTATTTTAATGGAACTTATAAATATTTAATTTTCTTCCAAAAATTATTTAATTTTGCTGGCAATATTTATTCTAATCATAATCATCATCTTATTCGTCCGTTTTATCTAATGTTATGGCACAACATAAAAATATAAATTTTTTATCACATTATAGATTATTTTTATTATTAATTATATTAAAAATCTTTACACTTCAAAAAATAAAGCTATTCAAAAAAATATTTATATTAAACAAATTATGCAAATTATGTAGCTAATTAATATCAATTAAATAGATGTAAAGCGTTTTGAATTAAAGCTTTAGATATTTTAGTCTTCCCAGAGTATGATGTTCATTGGATAACCGGGCTAATTAGTTCACTATGAACGATTTGTTTAATATCCATGGTATTAGTATTATATTAGATGTACCATTAACCATTAAATTGATAAAACAAATTTTTTTTAATTAAAAGTAAAATTATAATAGATAAATTTATATTAAATAAATTATACAAAAATTTTTTTAATAAAACAGCTAGATATTTTAATGTTTGCAATTCTCTTTTTATAAGCTCCATTAGTCTTTGAGATTTCACTGATAGTACATTTCATATTTTATTTTTTTGTTATTTGTATGATATTTTATTTTATTGATCATTTAAAAAATTTAAATAATACAGTAAAAAATTATATTATTATTATAGAAAATATAAATTTTTAGCTTTATAAATAAATAATTATTCTGCAGATTCGATCAACTCGATTTATTTTTATATAGGTATTAAAAAATAAAAGAAATATTATTTAAAAATTATTAAATATATTATTATTAAAAATTATATTATTAAACTATTATTAAAAAATTAAATTATTTTTTGACTGATATTTATTATTTTAGTGATAAAAATTTAATATTATTAACTTTGTTTTTAATTAAAGGCAGAAATATTGATAAAATTATCAATTATTGGCATTTACTCTTAAATTATTTTTCTATTACATACTAATTTATTCTTTTAGTGGTGGGTTTAGGCTAAATAATGTAAAGATAGAAAGTGGGGTGGATGGCTTGGTTTTTACTGGGCATAGTGTAACATAAATAAAGAGCGAAAATTACAATCGATTCATAAATTGCTATTATTTAAAATACATTTGGAAAAATTGTGCTGTATTTTTATTTTAAAAATTACTATTAAAATTTCAAACAACTTTTTTATATTAGTAATTATTATATCTATCCCAAAAATTTAAATATATTTAAAAATATATTATTATATTATATTAATTATTTTGCATGTGTAATTTTAATTAATTTTAACTTCTTTAGTTTTTATAAGTGAAAACATAAAAACTGTTAGTCATCCCTTGTACTTTTGTTTTTTATTGTCCATTTAATTGGTGAATTTTGCTAATAAATCTGCATTGGTAAATTTTTAGAATAAAACCATTAATTTATTTGAAGGAAATGAATTTAAAAATATTCAGAATTGTTTTAAATTAATTAAATATATGATAAAACAATCATATTATAAGTATAAATATAGAATAAAACTCAAGTAAAGAAAAGCTAAAAAAATTTTGCTTATCAAACACACACAAATGGCATTTTTACTTTTCTTAAGTTTGAGAATGAATGCTAAAAGGAATGACAAAGCTATAGACCACCTCTTCCTCCGATCTGTACTCTTAACAATTTTATATTTTTCTAAATTTTCTTTTTTTACATTTTTAGATGTTTTTATCATCTCAGTACTTGCCAATATCTCTTTTTTATTTTTCCTATTATTTGTATTTTCTTTACTACGCTGCGTGGCAGTCTCTCTTCTTAATTTTTCTTTCTATTTTAATTGCTCTTTAATTCCAGCTTCTTTTCTTATTTTCTTATTTTTAAAATTTTTCCTTTTTTGACGTGCAAAATTATAAACTGAGGAATGTCATTTTGTAAAATATCAAAGTGCAACATTGCTTCCACAATCGCAGGCAAAAGCCAACTAAAATGTAAAATTTTTGAGCGTTAGAATTATTTATAAAAATTTATTTTTAAATTTAAATTTTTAAAATGATAATTTAATTAAATGATTATGATGAGTCTTATATTTATTATCGATAATAATCTTATCATCGATAACTATCATATTATCTATAATTTCTGGAAAATATTTTTTTAACTTGAGGAAAATATCTGTCCTGATTGACCAAAAAACCTTGCTTAAATATTTAATCTTAAAAATAAAAAAATATATTAATGTTTTTAATTAAATTACCGTATTTCCTAAAATAGTACTCCCCCCTGAATTAGTACTCCCCCTTAAATAATACTCCCCTTTGGAGGAGGGTTGAAAAATAGTACTCCCCCCTTAAATAGTACTCCCCCTAAAATAGTACTCCCCCTAAAATAGTACTCCCCCTAAAATATTTTTCCCCTATATTTGAAAAAAATTATAAAAGAAACATTAAATTATTCTATTGAAATTTACTTATTGAATTATTTTATTTATTCTGATTAGGGTTGTCGGTTTCACTTGATTCTTCGATAACCGAAACCGGACAGTTTTCGTTTACCGAAAACGAACTGAAATTTTAACCTATAATATGTTCTGGATTGATCAAGTGGGGTCTAAAAGTTCCAATTCCCCTAGTTCATCTCTAACTAGATCAAGTAGTATGGTTTGATAAAGGAATTTGAGAGAAAAATGAAGGATGAGTGTTCGGGACGCACTCATTCCCGAGCGTTCGGGACGAAACCCTACTTGTTATCACGCCTAAATATGGATATCCTAGAATTCGTAAGGATATTCGAAGAAAAAGAGATGTGGAGGATAACGGTGATTAATGCTGATAAATCCCTGGACACAGCGATTAGGTACATCAATTTCTCAGTGACATTGAATAATATCGGCGGATATATGCGGATTCGTAAGATTATGAGTTTGAAAAGATTAAGGGGAGATTAAGTTTGAAAGATTAAGTTTGAAAAGATTTGAAAAGATTATGAGTTTGAAAAGATTACTTTACAATATAGACTTGCAGGAAACAATTACGTTGATCTTTAGATATATGAAGACATTTTTAAATAATTTTCTAAAATTTATTTTTTAATTTTTAAAATAATTCATATTATTAAATAATATATATAATGATAGTTAGTAACGATAATGAATAGTTAGTAATAAAAAGTTTATATAATTAAAAAAAATTTATTTATATAGTGAAAGCGTCCAGATTTTGTAAGCTTTGAAAGTTTTCAATTTCCCGTTAAAGTCGCATTTCGATATAATTAAAATGCTACGATAATGTTTTTATATAAATATAATTTAACTAATTAGAAATATTTATAATTTTAAATATATTCCTTTTATTATATACTTTTAATTAGCATTAGAATCTTACATTTGGAAATAGATTGTTTTTTTAATTTTAATCAAATTAAGATGGATTGTAATGAAAGAAATGTAGCCAGAAATGAAGAAACATATAAATATTTGATAAAACTTAAGATTCACGTATTTCTTAATTTTCCAATATAAATAATTGATCTTCATCAAATATCGCAATTAAACGTGACTCCTTGGGTGCCAATCTTATTATAATTTGAGAAAAATTTCTCTTTCCCTTCAAAATATTATACAATATATTAACAATAAAGACACCATTAATGTGTTATAAACAACTTATAGACAATAAAAATAAAATTCTAAAGTCAAAATAGGGTAATTAGTACAAATTAATATATAGTGCAAAAATATAAATGGCTCACCCCGTTTTGTTGCTTATTTTATTTTAAATTAAATAAATAAACAAAAATAAATATATCAAAAGTTATTTTTATAAAGTTTAAGCTTAATTTGTTACAAAGAATAAAACACCATCAGAAAATTTAATGTAATTTTCCTGAAATTAATTTTACTATTTTTACACTATCAAGTTCACGTAAACATTGTTTTAAATACACAAATAATTTTTTAAAGAATGACGCAGAAAATTCATAAGCTTTTTAAAAATAATTCACAAAAAAAATCACAAAAAATTCATAAAAAATCACCTCATCGGAAACGGTCTAATACCAATTTTGTTGGAAATAAAATTCAAGCAAAATATTTATAAAATTATTTGTATATTTTTCCATTAATCATAATATTATTTTTGTAAAAAAATAACATTATTATTTTGCTCAAAACTTTCCCTCTTTTTGCTTAATCATCTAAAACTTGTTTATTTAAATGTTTCAATTTTACGATTAATTCATTCACTTTCTTAGCCATTTTTTCCCTTTTAAGCTTCACCCTTTCCCAATATATAAAATTGTTTGTTGAATAAAAATATAAAATTTGAATTAAAAAATAATTGTTTGAGTAAATATTATTTGAGATTATATTAATATTTGTAATTTTAATTTATTGAAATTATTAAAATTAAAATTTGAGCTTCAAATGAGTAAGGAACGGACAAGAATCTGTTTTTATTTAAGTAGAAAAAACAAAAAATGTTTATTAAAACTTTAAGAAATTGTTTAGATTAAAAGTCTAACAATTATATGTATTCACATTATTTCAGGCAGGTATTCCACATTATTATTTTTTCCTTAAATTTATTTAAAATTTTTATTTAAATTTTTCCTTAAAAATAGGTTTATTTCTTTCATTTAAAAATATTTATTTTAAATTCGTTGCTATAGAAACAATTTATTTTTATTTAAGTATAAATTTTTTTAAATTTCGCTTGATTTTGTTTAAAAAATATAAATGGACCAGTGGGATACTTGGCTAGCTAATGATATTTTTGTTTGTAATAAAATTAGAAATGAAAATAATATTAAAGAATCAACAAATAAATTGACAGAAAATATTAGTAATAATAACCTGAATAATACACGAGAAATAAATGAATCAGATGAAAAAATAACGACGCCGTTATGGTCACCAAAAATCGTATTTTATTTCTAGTTATAATTAATTTTTTTACTTAATTGAAATTTTAAATAAAAGCTTTTTCCGATACGTTTGAATAGGGTTTTGGGCCCGGTCAGTTCGAGTTGGGCATCGAATTTTGGCCTGGAATAGACTCGGTCGGTCCGGTCTGATAAAAATGAGGCCGGAAAAAATGATTCAAACGTCGGCTCGGTTTCGGCATCCAAACCTTACTTTTGAATATGGTAAAATTATCAAACATATCTGACACTTCAGGGTTTTGAGATAAGAAGTCGGTGTTTGCCGGGGAGGGATTGTCGTAGTCAAAGTTTCGAGGGACGGGGGGCTACCCTAATTTTAAATATAGAATATTTAAAATTATTTTTAAAATTAACTTTCATTTATTACAAAAATTCACTAAAATAATTTTTAGTTCTATTAATAATTTCTAACGATTTTTAAAGATAGAAAACCCCAAAAAACATAATTGTACATCAAAAAGTGATTTGAATTCGTTTATTGAATTAATCGAAGGGAAAAAACCTTTAAATGAAATTTTAAAAATTGAAAACCTTTCAGGTATCTAAAAATATGTTGATAAATTTTTGTTTAAAAGATGAATTAAAGAATGAGGCAATTCTTTGGGATGAAAAATTTCCAGATTTTACAATATTTGGAAAACGGATAAAGAAAAGTTTGGAACAACAAGAAAGAGATAATTTAAGAAAAATAATTTCAAAAAAAATTATTGAAGATCATTTAATGCCTGAGGTTTTTGATAAATTAAAAATTTAAAAAATATTATTTAGGTCTATGCTTCTCTTAATACAAGGAATTTAGTAAATAATAGTTCGAAATCTGGCCATTCCTTTCTCCCACCAATAGTGAATTCTCAAAAGAAAGAGATGAATAAAATGATGAACAAAAGATGAAGAAAATTCTTGCGTTTTAAACCCTTCTAATCATTTCTAAAAAGCGGTACTTCTAATTTTTTATCCTTAAATCTTCCACATATCGTAAGCTATACAGTCATTTTCAGTTGATTTAATTAAATCTAAAAATTAGTATATTTAGTCTGTTGGGTATCTAGTATTAGTGTTTATTAGTGTTATTCCGTAGTCGTTATTCTATTCAGTAAGTCTTATTCTTGTGCTCCACATATTGGCATTAGCCATATTCCTATTGTTCGTTACTATTGTATTTTGTGTCATGACACTTGAGATATGACATTTGAGACCCGACACTTGCAGATCCGACTTTTGCAGATAATATTGGCCCGACAATTGCAGATACCGACACTTGCAGATCCGACTTTTGCAGATACCGACACTTGCAGACCCGACTTTTGCAGATAATATTGGCCCGACACTTGCAGATCCGACTGTTGCAGATACCGACACTTGCAGACCCGACTTTTGCAGACCCAACATTTGCAGATAATATTGGCCCGATAATTGCAGATACCGACACTTGCAGACCCGACTTTTGCAGACCCGACAATTGCAAATCAGACATTTGGAGATCCGACTTTTGCAGATTAGATGTACTAAATGTAAAATTCTAGATGTAAATCTAGATGTAAATGTAAAATTTACATAAAAATTAATATTTTATTTTGTCAGTTCATTGGTTTTTAGGATTTTTAAATTTTTTAAAATTAAATTTTTTTTCAAAATTAATATCTGCAAATGTCTCGTCTGCAAGTATCGTATGACCAAAATTGGCCACTATCTAAAATATCAAGATTCGAATGTTGAATATATAATAATTTTGATAATTTCATACACTGTTCCACATAAGTATAAGTCCACCCCTTTTTTCAAGATTTTTTATTTACAATGATCTAGATTTTCTGAACATTTAAATACAATCTTTTTAGTGAATAGCTAACAAATTCTTGCACTACATATGTATAACGATTTCAATATTTGTTGTAAATAAAATTATATGTATAATAATAAAATTTTAAAAATCAAATTAAATGATAGTTTTTATTTGTTCAAAATTTTATGAAAAATTGACAAAAGTGATGGGAACAAATAAAAAAAATTTTATAGAAATATTAAAGTTTTATTTGATTTTAATTTAAAAAATTTTTATAGCTTTTATCAAATAAAAAATTATTTTTAATATTTAATTGCGTACGTGTGTTCTTTTTAAGATAAAAAATTTTTTCAACAGTTTTGGTGCATTCAATTGTTAGGGCTGCAGTCGAAAACTTTGAGGATTTTGTAAAAAACCATTTTATCCTAAAAACTACAAGAAAATATAAAAAATCCTCTTATAATATCCAAAAAAACTACAAAATGAGGCAAAATTCGCAGATATAGGAGCCCTTAACTTAATAATTTAGTTCAAAATTTAGTTAAATAATTTAGTTTTTCCGCCCGTTCAAGTGGGTGAAATGCACTTTTGTTTTAATTTTTTGGAAAATTTAATTAATATATTTAAATTCACAGTTAAATAAACAATATTTAAATGCCTGGACCACACAATTATTAAATTGTGTGGTATAAAATTGTGCTATAAAAGCCAGAAATTTTAATATTTAACTCAAAGCATTGAAGAAATAAATTAAATATTATAGCTTAAATAGTTAAACAAAATGTTTATTTCATTATTAGCTACCTTGGCATTGTCTGCCATTATGAATAATGAATGTAATATTTAATTTTATTTAAAAATATAAAAATTCTGTTTAGTTACTAATGCAATTGATCAAGCTGGACGTGACGCAGTAGTTTATTGGCACAATTACTTCCGTGCTGAATTAACTGCGGGAAGGGTTAAAAACAAAACTGGAGAGTTTTTGCCAAAAGCAAAAGATTTGAAAAAAATGGAATTTTCTTTAGAACTTGAAAAGCAGGCACAGGCATGGGCTGATAAATGCACTTATAGTCATTCGGACCCTTATGGGAATTATGGAGAGAATTTCTATGCTTATGCAAGAAGGGATGATGATGGCAATTAATTATTTAAATAAATCTTATTTCTCTAAATTAAAGCTGCTGCCATCGAGTATGTAGTAAAAGGATGGTGGTCAGAGTTAGAATACAGAGGAGCTTTGGGACCTTATCCAGGCCAAGACTGCGTTCCATTTGATGCACCCCAAAATAATAGAGGTATCGGACATTGGACACAACTTGCTTGGTGGCAAACTTATCAAGTTGGGTGTGGAATTGGACGTTGCCCTCTATATAAAACTTATGTTGTTTGCCAATACAAACCACCGTAATAAATATTTACTTAATTTTCTATAATTGATTTTAGTGGAAATGTTTATACAAGATGTGTTTATCATACTGGGGAGCCTTGTACAAGTTGCCCAGATAAATGTGATAGTGAAACCAAACTTTGCCTTAATTGATGTAAGATGTGAAATTTTTAAGGATAAATTATATAGTTGTAAAAGTTTATAATGAGTTAATAATTGTTAATAAAAAGATTTATAGTAAAATTTAAATAATAAAAAAATAATTCAATTGGTATATTCGACTTGTATGCAATATTAGGGTTGGTGTACACCAGGAATGCACGAACTCTAAAAAAACCGAAATGCGAAACTTTTTAAAAAATTAAATATGAAATCCGAAATGCGAATCTTAAATATTTTAATCATATTCAAAATTATAAATTTCGAGATTGTAATGGAAAAAATAAAATCATTTCTGCACTTTCCTCAAAAAGACTCTTCCTCAGATTCCTTACTATTAATCTTGCTCTCACCTGTCCTATATCCATAACAATCACTCTTAATAAAATTGCAATATCTGGTTCATTGTTCACATTTGAACCTATTAATATCCCCTTTAATCTCAAATTTATTTTCTGCGCCGCAGGCGAAAATTTTAAAAATTTGGAAGGCTGAGGAGAGTCGCAGTTAAAAATTGTGTAGCAATACCTAATACTTTAGGCATTTCTCTGAAAATTTTTGAGCATTAGAAAAAATATTTTTGTTGATAGACATTGATATAATCATTCCTGAAAGTGAATTTAATTCTTTTCAAACAAAAATTTTTGATAGGAAAAATTATTTTGTATCAATTGTGTTTTTTGTATCAACTAATTTCTCCATTCAAAACTAATTTCTCCATTCAAAACTAATTTCTCCATTCAAACTAATTTCTCCAAAAAAACCAATATGGTTAAACTTAAAAGACAACGAAATTTGTCTTCTTCAATCAATTTAGACTCTACAATAAATTAACAGAATTTCCACCTATCCTCTGAACAAATCTCACAAATTGTTCAGCAGGTTCTAGAAATCCTTAAGCCAGCAATACAAACAATAGTAGAAACTTCTTTACTAAAATTATTGAAAAAATTCCTAATTTGACTCATCAACAACAAAGACCGTCAACTCCCTGGGGTTGTCCACCAACGCCAGATCCATCATTCCTTACCAAAATATCTAATTATAATATTTTAAATCAACAAACAGTAATTCAAAAATCTAAATCTGCTGCCCTAGAAAAATTTCCTGAAACTACAGACATCACTGTTGTGGAACAAATTATTGATAAATGTGGGCTAAAGGAAAAAATTGACACAACAAAAGAAATACATCATCATCTTGAAATGAGGGAAGGAAATAATCTGAAACCTAGAATTATCAAAATCCCTTTTATTGATAATGCCTCTAGGGATTTATTTATTAAAAAATTTCGTAGACAACTTTCTTTTTTCCCAAATTTACCAAAAAATTTAAGTGTTAGAAGAGATATGACACCCCCTGAATTGTCGATTCTTTATTCGCAAAGGTCCAAGGCGTATAATCTCAATTTAGCCGAAGGACTTTTTAAATACATTGTTATTGATCTTGACATTATTGAGTTGAGAAACCCAAAACCTTTTAAAACAAAAAATAAATAGGGGTCAAAGAGTAAACCACAAAAAATTGATTCTAAAAAGGCTGACATATTCTCGTGTGTATATCTAAATTCCAGGCCCCTATTAAATAAAGTTAGTAGAGTTATGGGATTTTTGTAAAAAACATTTTATTCTAAAAACTACAAGATAATATAAAAAAATCCTCTTATAATATCCAAAAAACCACAAAACGAGGCAAAATCAGCAGAAATCGTAGCCTTAAACTAAATAATTTAAAAAAAGTTAACTTATTTAAGTAAAGCTTGTGCTGGGCCAGGATGGTGTTGGGATGTTGGGCGGGTTGCGTGCGATGTTAAGGGTCCCGAGAGGCGATGCCGATGAGTATATTGCGGAGCGGAGGGTAGGCCTTTCTATGCGCTTGTATAATGCTGGTCGGTTACGAGACCGACTTGCCCGGGATAATATGCGCTGACTGATAAGCTCTTTGGCTTCTTCTGCAGGATTAATGAATAAGCTCTCAGCTTCTTCGGCCGGTTATTCACTTCTCTATTGATTACTTTCCAACTGACTGCTGAACAGTCGACTGATCCGCTTTTCACTATTTTCCACTTAGTTTTATCCTAAGGCCTTATTTGTCATTCTCCTCCCCTTATTCAATCCTTTCCCAAAGGAACTAATGTTCCTTTTCTCCATCCTTGCCCATCCGGATCAAAGTACGCCTGACACCTCCAACCCTGGGGAAGACCGTCCCTTGGTCTTTTCTTAATTTCCCAAATTTCAATTTTATTTTTCATTTATTTTATTTTTAAACCCACCACAATTTACAGCTTTACCATGTGCCCCAAGCCTGTGCCTCCATTTTCTATCTTCTTCTTTTCTCATCTTCTTCTACAGTCTCTTGCCAAGTGTCCGGAACTTCCACATCTGTTGCAAATAATTTGTCCTCTTCCTGTTCGTAATTCACCGCCACGTATTAGCTTAACTTCTTCAACTTTAACTTCAATTGACCTTCCTTTTAAATCATTGAGTATTCCATTCGAGCCGCGTGTTGGTTCTTCATTTTCCATAACCTCCAAATAGCGTTCGTCAACAAAGGGAGTGTGTTGTTTTGCCGCAGTGATGAATCTTCTCCACGTTTCGCCTTCTCGTATGGATTCAAAATCGGCAATAATGATTAATCCGCTTTGTGCGGATTAATCATTATTTTTTTCAAACAGTTTTGGTGCATTCAATTGTTAGGGCTGCAGTCGAAAACTTTGAGGATTTTGTAAAAAACCATTTTATCCTAAAAACTACAAGAAAATATAAAAAATCCTCTTATAATATCCAAAAAAACTACAAAATGAGGCAAAATTCGCAGATATAGGAGCCCTTAACTTAATAATTTAGTTCAAAATTTAGTTAAATAATTTAGTTTTTCCGCCCGTTCAAGTGGGTGAAATGCACTTTTGTTTTAATTTTTTGGAAAATTTAATTAATATATTTAAATTCACAGTTAAATAAACAATAGTTAAATGCCTGGACCACACAATTATTAAATGTGTGGTATAAAATTTTGCTATAAAAGCCAGAAATTTTAAATTTAACTCAAAACATAGCATAAATTAATTAAATATTAGAGCTTAAATAGTTAAACAAAATGTTTATTTCATTATTAGCTATCTTGGCATTGTCTGCCATTATGAATAATGAATGTATTATTTAATTTAATTTAAAAATAAAAATTCTGTTTAGTTACTAACGCAATTGATCAAGCTGGACGTGATGCAGTAGTTTATTGGCACAATTATTTCCGTGCTGAATTAGCTGCGGGAAGGGTTAAAAATAAAACTGGAGAGTTTTTGCCAAAAGCAAAAGATTTGAAAAAAATGGAATTTTCTTTAGAACTTGAAAAGCAGGCACAGGCATGGGCTGATAAATGCACTTATAGTCATTCGGACCCTTATGGGAATTATGGAGAGAATTTCTATGCTTATGCAAGAAGGGATGATGATGGCAATTAATTATTTAAATAAATCTTATTTCTCTAAATTAAAGCTGCTGCCATCGAGTATGTAGTAAAAGGATGGTGGTCAGAGTTAGAATACAGAGGAGCTTTGGGACCTTATCCAGGCCAAGACTGCGTTCCATTTGATGCACCCCAAAATAATAGAGGTATCGGACATTGGACACAACTTGCTTGGTGGCAAACTTATCAAGTTGGGTGTGGAATTGGACGTTGCCCTCTATATAAAACTTATGTTGTTTGCCAATACAAACCACCGTAATAAATATTTACTTAATTTTCTATAATTGATTTTAGTGGAAATGTTTATACAAGATGTGTTTCATACTGGGGAGCCTTGTACAAGTTGCCCAGATAAATGTGATAGTGAAACCAAACTTTGCCTTAATTGATGTAAGATGTGAAATTTTTAAGGATAAATTATATAGTTGTAAAAGTTTATAATGAGTTAATAATTGTTAATAAAAAGATTTATAGTAAAATTTAAATAATAAAAAAATAATTCAATTGGTATATTCGACTTGTATGCAATATTAGGGTTGGTGTACACCAGGAATGCACGAACTCTAAAAAAACCGAAATGCGAAACTTTTTAAAAAATTAAATATGAAATCCGAAATGCGAATCTTAAATATTTTAATCATATTCAAAATTATAAATTTCGAGATTGTAATGGAAAAAATAAAATCATTTCTGCACTTTCCTCAAAAAGACTCTTCCTCAGATTCCTTACTATTAATCTTGCTCTCACCTGTCCTATATCCATAACAATCACTCTTAATAAAATTGCAATATCTGGTTCATTGTTCACATTTGAACCTATTAATATCCCCTTTAATCTCAAATTTATTTTCTGCGCCGCAGGCGAAAATTTTAAAAATTTGGAAGGCTGAGGAGAGTCGCAGTTAAAAATTGTGTAGCAATACCTAATACTTTAGGCATTTCTCTGAAAATTTTTGAGCATTAGAAAAAATATTTTTGTTGATAGACATTGATATAATCATTCCTGAAAGTGAATTTAATTCTTTTCAAACAAAAATTTTTGATAGGAAAAATTATTTTGTATCAATTGTGTTTTTTGTATCAACTAATTTCTCCATTCAAAACTAATTTCTCCATTCAAAACTAATTTCTCCATTCAAACTAATTTCTCCAAAAAAACCAATATGGTTAAACTTAAAAGACAACGAAATTTGTCTTCTTCAATCAATTTAGACTCTACAATAAATTAACAGAATTTCCACCTATCCTCTGAACAAATCTCACAAATTGTTCAGCAGGTTCTAGAAATCCTTAAGCCAGCAATACAAACAATAGTAGAAACTTCTTTACTAAAATTATTGAAAAAATTCCTAATTTGACTCATCAACAACAAAGACCGTCAACTCCCTGGGGTTGTCCACCAACGCCAGATCCATCATTCCTTACCAAAATATCTAATTATAATATTTTAAATCAACAAACAGTAATTCAAAAATCTAAATCTGCTGCCCTAGAAAAATTTCCTGAAACTACAGACATCACTGTTGTGGAACAAATTATTGATAAATGTGGGCTAAAGGAAAAAATTGACACAACAAAAGAAATACATCATCATCTTGAAATGAGGGAAGGAAATAATCTGAAACCTAGAATTATCAAAATCCCTTTTATTGATAATGCCTCTAGGGATTTATTTATTAAAAAATTTCGTAGACAACTTTCTTTTTTCCCAAATTTACCAAAAAATTTAAGTGTTAGAAGAGATATGACACCCCCTGAATTGTCGATTCTTTATTCGCAAAGGTCCAAGGCGTATAATCTCAATTTAGCCGAAGGACTTTTTAAATACATTGTTATTGATCTTGACATTATTGAGTTGAGAAACCCAAAACCTTTTAAAACAAAAAATAAATAGGGGTCAAAGAGTAAACCACAAAAAATTGATTCTAAAAAGGCTGACATATTCTCGTGTGTATATCTAAATTCCAGGCCCCTATTAAATAAAGTTAGTAGAGTTATGGGATTTTTGTAAAAAACATTTTATTCTAAAAACTACAAGATAATATAAAAAAATCCTCTTATAATATCCAAAAAACCACAAAACGAGGCAAAATCAGCAGAAATCGTAGCCTTAAACTAAATAATTTAAAAAAAGTTAACTTATTTAAGTAAAGCTTGTGCTGGGCCAGGATGGTGTTGGGATGTTGGGCGGGTTGCGTGCGATGTTAAGGGTCCCGAGAGGCGATGCCGATGAGTATATTGCGGAGCGGAGGGTAGGCCTTTCTATGCGCTTGTATAATGCTGGTCGGTTACGAGACCGACTTGCCCGGGATAATATGCGCTGACTGATAAGCTCTTTGGCTTCTTCTGCAGGATTAATGAATAAGCTCTCAGCTTCTTCGGCCGGTTATTCACTTCTCTATTGATTACTTTCCAACTGACTGCTGAACAGTCGACTGATCCGCTTTTCACTATTTTCCACTTAGTTTTATCCTAAGGCCTTATTTGTCATTCTCCTCCCCTTATTCAATCCTTTCCCAAAGGAACTAATGTTCCTTTTCTCCATCCTTGCCCATCCGGATCAAAGTACGCCTGACACCTCCAACCCTGGGGAAGACCGTCCCTTGGTCTTTTCTTAATTTCCCAAATTTCAATTTTATTTTTCATTTATTTTATTTTTAAACCCACCACAATTTACAGCTTTACCATGTGCCCCAAGCCTGTGCCTCCATTTTCTATCTTCTTCTTTTCTCATCTTCTTCTACAGTCTCTTGCCAAGTGTCCGGAACTTCCACATCTGTTGCAAATAATTTGTCCTCTTCCTGTTCGTAATTCACCGCCACGTATTAGCTTAACTTCTTCAACTTTAACTTCAATTGACCTTCCTTTTAAATCATTGAGTATTCCATTCGAGCCGCGTGTTGGTTCTTCATTTTCCATAACCTCCAAATAGCGTTCGTCAACAAAGGGAGTGTGTTGTTTTGCCGCAGTGATGAATCTTCTCCACGTTTCGCCTTCTCGTATGGATTCAAAATCGGCAATAATGATTAATCCGCTTTGTGCCCTGGACAACGCTATGGTGGCGCGTCTGCTATCCTTCAAAAAGTCAGAGGCATCTGCGCGAGCTGCTGATCCAGGCGATTTGGTGCTTGTTGTCACAAGAATGATTAAACGGTGCTCGCGGCTTTGAAACGCATCTACAGAATTTACTGAGACTTGTAGATTTTCTTGGTAGAGTCTTTCTCTTATCTTTTCGCATTGGTACGTGTATAGACATATAATGGCAACACCTTGAGGATCTCGGTGCTCCAGCGCTTTTGCAATTATAATAGCTGCCTCAGTCTGTTCAGGTGAAGAAAGTGAGTAGGATGCGCTGTCCTGCTCTATTGTGCCTCTTATATTCAAAAGTATGAGTGGAACGTTATTCACCGGAAGATTTATTCCAAGCTTTGTTAATCCTGTGCGCTTTGATGCGGGAACAGCTGCAATCACTCTTTCGCCGTGTTTTTCATAAGAAGAATAGTCAAAGCATTCAGTTATAATTGGGTGTGAGCGGTAACATCGTTCTAAGATCGTGACTGATACTCTTTCTCAATTTTCCATTTGATCTGTTACACTTTCAAGACCGTAACCAGTTTGAATAACTTCTGGTAGTTCTTTCAGGTGAGTGCCCAGTTGACGGACGTCCCCCGTCAAGAGGACAGACCGTACAAGTGGTAATTTGCAAAGGAGGTGAACCATCATGGAGAAGCTTGTCTGAGTAACCTCGTCGATTATGAGGTGTGTAGTCGATACATGAGCGCGTGGTATTCCTAAACACATGTAGATTGTTCCGAAGATCGCATTTTTAAATTCTCTAGCCAAATAAATTTCTCCTACTTTCCTTTCTTTGGTGTGTCGTGGTTTATCTTTGATGTGTGCCAGGTAATCCGTTACGTCTCTCTTCTCAGAACCTTCTAACTTCTCTACAAATTCTCCTTTTATTTTATTTTCAAGTTGGTGTTCCTTTAGTAGCAGTATTTGATCTCCGTATCTGATGCGTGCTGTCGAGGCGAAGAATGCCAACATCTCACTGCCAAGATTGATTTGGGCACTCTCGTCGATCAACTTGCTCACAGGCAAATTTGAATTTGCCGTGGCCAAGACTGCAATTTTCGGGTCCTTCTTCAGAGCTGCGGCTATACATGCGGCTGCCAGGCGCGTTTTTCCTGTACCTGGGGGCGCCTGCTGGTAATGTAGGCGCCCCCTTCCTTCATGCAGCCAATTAGAGAGTGTATTTTGCTGTTCTTCATTTAAACTTTTTACACACTCTAATTCCTTCGGAATATCACCTCCAACCACCGAATCGTCCGTCCCTGGACGACCGAATAGCGCCTTGAGTATTTCAGTTCGTGGAGATTTTTCTTCTTTAATTAATTGAGTTGGGGTATGTAGGCCAAAAGTATCGGCTTGATCGCGGTATCCGACGGGTGTTTCGGCAACTTGAATAATTGTTAACATCCCGTGTGTCATAGCTTCAAAGTCTTCATCGTGTTCATAAAGACCTTCATTAGGGACTAGAATTATATTAACTTCAATTTGTAGTAGACCGTCGTCTCGATCACATTTAAATACTTCTTTTATGTAACCGTTAGCAAATGCCTTCCTTTCAAAACCAGTTTTAGCAGTTACTGGTGTATCTTTTGTCCAAATACTGAGTACTTTAGCTATGTGGGCTTTTTGTTCGTGTATGTGGTTAATCGTGAATGTTCTCTTCTTTTCATCTTCAAGCGGTTTAACTACTCCGAAATAACTGGTTTCCATTCTACCAACTTCTTCATTTTCCGCTGCAGTAATTAATGCTGCTGCGATTATGTCTTCAGCTAACTTCATCTCCTTCAACGTATAATCCTTATCAATAGGAAATACTTTCGGAAGTCCTGTTTTTGTTAGCCAGCGCCATCTTTCAGTGAACGGTTCAGCACAGGCTAAGATTTGAGATCCTTCTTTAGCCATAATTTCTGTTCCGAGTCTATATGATCCTCCGGGTGGAACTATATAATTTGTTCCTATCATCCAACCAGCTGGGATTGGAGCTAATTTTAGATTTACAAATTCTGATAGCCGTGTTTTTGATAAGTCAAGACCGTGTCTGCATTGTTTTGCGTATAGCATTCCAGATCTCTCCATTCCATATGCTGTCACACGAGCTAACGCTGCTTTGCCTTCTTTCTTCTTCAAATATACAATAATTCCCGTTTTGGTAGTCCAATAAGGAAAGTGAGTTACATCAATCATTAATGCTGTGGCTTGGTAACTTAGCATTCCTGTTTCCTTCCTATACCAGTTGTCAATAGTAACTTGTCTTCTTCCTTCAATCCATGCAAATTTATTTACAAATATTGAATCTCCTGGAAATAATGGACGTTCAAGATCGGTTGTTAATTCATCGGGAATTTCAATTGCAAAAGGCCACATCGATAGTTTTTCAGGGTTTGGAATAACTGCGATTGATCGTTTCTCTTGCACTTGAGAAACCACATATCTCTTCTTTCGACTTGCAGTTATGGCTTCCTCTTCAATCTTCTCTTTCTTCTTTTCAGATTTTGATTTTACTTCTTGCCATTCCTGATTTTCAAAAGCTTTATTAGCAAATGATTCTTCTTTATTCGGGTTTTCCCAGTTAGAAGACGATTGGGCCCATTCAGATTCGTTTATTTCGCCTTCCTCCATTTGTTCATCTTCATTTTCCTCGTTTATTTCCATATCTTCTTCAAGAATAAGCTTTTCCATACTTTCAGAAATTTCTTGTCTTTCTTCTTTTTCAGCATCTTCCATGATCTTTTGGAAGGCTTCTTCTTCTTCCACACTTGTATGTGTGGTTGATTTTGGTTTTTGTGAACCCGTAGGTTCCATGGTCATAAGACCAGCAGTTTTATTTAGAGTTTTTGAATCCGTGGATTCCATGGTCAACAGACCAGCATTTTTATTTAAGCTTTTTGAATCCGTGGATTCCATGGTCAAAGGACCAGCTTTATTTGTTGTTGTTGTTTCATTTTTCTCAGTTTTGAAATAGAAATGACCGCGGCCACGTTTTCGAACATTTTGATTGTTGTCCATTGATAACTGAAATTTAGTTTTTAATTTAAAAAAAAATTTTTTTTTAATGGGAGAAAAAATTAAGTGTGAGTTAAATACGCGGTTGTATAAAAATTAAATATGAAATAAAATAAGCGAATAAAAATTTGATTAATTGAAAAAGTATTAAATGATTTTAAAAAAATGAAAATTAAAAGATTGATTAAGTGAAATTAGATGAATATAATAAGAGTTTTGAATGTATGACCCCTATCAATTTTATTTTTAAAAGGAAAACTTCTTCTTTTTGGGATTTTCTCGTAAATTATATTTCTTGCGAGTGTCCTTTTCTACTAGTTCAGTGTTTGAGTTTTGATTTTCCTGTGTATCGGGAGTTTCTATTTCTTGGGAAATATTTTCATTTTCGATACCTTCGTTTTCTTCAGCTCTTGCCAGAGCTTTTTCTTCATCACTCGATAATTCAGGTACTGTACAAGCGGGTGTTAGTGCTTCAAAACACTTCTTTAGTTGATTTATATGCACTTTTCTGGGTGTACCCTGAGGTGAGTTACAACTTACTATTGTGACATGTACTCCTTCAATTTTTACTACTCTAAATACACCTTTCCAAGGCATATGAAATTTCTTAGAAGTTCCTATTTTTCCTGCATAGTTTCTGAGTAATACTCTATCTCCTACTGTGACTGTGGGGTTTCTTACTAATTTGTCATATTGAGTCTTTGCTCTTAACTGTGCTTGCTTATTTGCTTCATCGGCAGCCTCCCAGGCGCATCTAAGTGAAGTGATTAGTCTTTGCTTAAATTCGGAAATGTCTGTAAACGCAACAGGACTGTACACTGACGGGTCTAGTATTTGGTCTACGCAAAAGATAGGATCACGACCAAACATGAGAAAGAATGGCGTTTCACCTGTCGACACGTGTATCGAAGTGTTATAACAGAAGCATGCGCAGTCTAAAAATTCGTCAAAATCTGGTTGATCCTTACTTATGTACTTGGAGAGAATATTATGGAATGTTCTAAAGGATCTTTCAGTCACTGAGTTTCCTTGGGACCAGTGTGGTGTGGCATAGCTTTTATTAATGTATAACATTGAGCAGAAGTCCTTAAAGAATTCGCTTGTAAAAGCTGTGGCATTGTCAGTTACTAGTTCAACACAGCCACCATATTTTAAGTAGCAGTTATTGAGAAATGCTTTTGCTAGAGTCATTGCTTTAGTGTCAGGGACTGGTATCGAAATAACGTATTTAGTGAACCAGCAAATTATATTCATTACATGTTTATTGCCATTCTGTGTTAATGGGAACGGTCCTGCAAGATCTAACCCAACTTTAGCAAATAGTGTGTTTACTGGTACCATTTGCATTTCTGCCCTGTATGGTGGATTGGGTGAGTGTCTAAGTTGACAAGTTATACAATTTCGTGTCCAGGTTAAAATATCAGCGTGCATTCTTGGCCAATAATATTTTCTACATTTCTTGAGGGTCTTTTTCAAATTCATGTGTCCACCCCCTAGTTGTGAGGAGTGAAACGAGTCAAAGATTAAAGCCCTGAGTGAGGATGGTGCGAATATTCTTGGTTTTAAATTCGGAAGTTTGTGACATAGTATATCCCCTATAATTCTCAGGTTTTCAGCATTTAATACGAATTTCTCACTATCATTGGGTGATATGTCTTCTGGGAGTTCCCCGATTTTTATAAATTTAATATAATCTGCAGCTTCCATGTCATTTTCTTGTTCTTGCTTAATATCTATTGCATAATTTTCATTTTCTTTCCTAAGTCCCAATTTTGATATATCGGCACAATCTATCCTTTTTGGGTTCCCATTTTAGTACAGTATTGTCGCTTAACACACAAAGACCTTTCGAATAGGAGCAATTATTACTTTCCCCGAATGAGGTTCCTATGCCTTCTTCACCCCAATGGGAATTAATTTTTACACTAAATAGTAAGCAATTTTCGGATTGGACCTCGGTCCACCAGAACGATCCTATGAACCACATTTTCGGACTCGCGTCTATTTTATTTGCAGTGGTCCAAAGATCATTTTCTTCAATTAATTTACCTAAACTACATTCTTTATTTTTAATCATTCTCTTACATTCTTGTTCATCTACTGGGAGAATTTCAGAGCCTACAGGTTCATTGATTGGTACATTAGAAAGGGTTGTAAATTTTCTAAGAGTTTTTCTTATTTTTCTACAAGCCCATCCTTGGGTTGTGTACTCTAAGTCATTTAACATGTATACATTTCTAGTTTGCGAAATTGGTACATGAGAAATATTTGGAGAGGGTATTGGACAGTCTGTCATGTCAGGAAGAGACCATAAAGTAGACTGTTTTTCAGTTTGGCATATCATTGGGTACTGTGGAATTGATAATCTTTCGATTGCCTGCAGTGGTGCTGCTAGCGCTAATACTAGAATTACCATTGGGAGTAGTTTGGGACTTAATTTAAAAGGTTCCCAAGAGACAATAGAAGGTTTTTCCTTCTTAACATTTAATTGTTTTTCTTCGGGTTCCTCGTTTATTGGCTTTGTTTTACCATGTAGGAGATTAACATTTTGTGGGGATCCATTATTTTTAGAACTTCCCACCTGCATGTTCCTTAGGGTTAATAATATTTCTTTTAGCATACCACTATCATTTGACATATTTGATGGACCAACATCTGGTTCCCTTCGGCTTTGACTACGTTGTGTTTGAAAGTCTGCAATTCTGGTGCGACATACATTTGCAAAGTGACCAACTTTCATGCAATAATTACAAATAGGTCTGTTGTTCCATCGTCGATGATTAGTTGGTGTTCGCATTTGTCTTGTGTCACGATAGTTCATGTCTCGTCGAAGGTTGTTTTGCCTAAATTCTCCAAAATTATTTCGATTATTTTGAAAATCATTTCTATTTTGACTTTGTCCCCACCTTTGACCGAGCTTTTGTCTATTTGGATTAGTAGGATTCAGTGATTGAAACTTCCCTGGTACATTAAAGGAATTTGATTGTTGCATTGCATGCACTTCTTGAGTTGGCATGTCAAACATTGATCCAGTACCTCCAGGTAGCATGATTTCGACTTCACGAAGATCTAAGCATAATTGTTCAAAACCTCTATCTGTCTGAGAAAAGTTTAGTAATTTCATACAAAATGCTATGTTTGGTCTTAAACGTTCTAATAAAAGTTCACACAGATAGCGTTCCTTGTTTGGACCAGAAATATCAGCAGCTGTAGCCATTGCCAGAGGTCTAAAGCGTGATAGGAAATCTTTGACTGACTCACCTTCGTGTTGACGGCACATTAAAAGCGCCTGTCTTGAGAGGGCACGTCGTTGAGGAGAGTCCAACTCCTTTCTTATGCTTTGAAGTGCCATTTCACACGTTAATTTTTGAGTTGGAGACAATTCTTCAAAGATTCTTTTGGGTGTGTCTTCCAAAAATAAAGACAAGCGAGCAAGTTTTTCTTCTTCTGAAAGTTTTACCCCAAAGACCTTAATTCTTTCTAAAAATTTCTTTCCCCATTTATCAAATGATATAATATTATCATCAGAATATACCTCAAGCGCTGGGATACCTTCGTGATGAAGCATGTTCAGAGTGTGAAAGCCTTCATCATTTGTCATGGGTGGGTGTCTGACTTGTCCATCCACCTGTGATTCATCTGCCCAATTATTGTCATTATTTTCACTAAGATTCGAAATATTTAATTCTGGAATAATAAGAGGCATTAATGTTTGTTGTCCAACCCTAATTTTGGTTGGGGAGGCAGACCTAGCCTTTCTTTTAGATAATTCAGTGATGTTTTGCTCGCAACTATTTATTTTGTCGCCCAAAGTGGAAAACCCTTGATTAACCTCCTCAGCTAATTTGGTTAACCCTGTTGAGTTTTGGTTTACCTTGCGACTCATGAGTCGAATAGAGCGGTTTACACCCTCCTCTAAACGTATTGTTTCACCAAATACCTGTTCCAGGTCCTGTATCTTCAGCTGAGCTGTGTTGGATTTACCTATTAGTAGTTTCTTGTCAACTACATTGATTGGCGTTTCCTCCAAATTGGAAGAAGACGAAGAATTTTGTGGTACCTTGGTACCCGCGGGCGTAATGCCCTTGTTGCTTGTGTCTTCATTACCAACCATGAAGACCAATTAATCGTTGCTTTTGTTGCTTTCTGATAGCTTTTAAATTTTATCTGTAATTGATGCTTTGATTTAAAAAGAAATTTAAAAAAATTCTTAGTGTTAGCCTTGCTAAAAGCTAAAGAGACAACTTGAAAGTGAATCTGTAAATCTTAAAATGACTCCTGTTTACAGCTTACATGAATGTTAAACGAATGTTTAAATGCTTCTTCATTTAAATGTTTAAATAACTGTGAATGCCTATTCATCCCTCACGGATGTTTACATAAATGTTTAGATGCTTATCCTTTCCTTTAAACATTTTCCCATTAATTTATTTTTACTTTACACTGAATTTTTCTCAAACACAATGTTTAGATAAATGTTTAAATGCTTATCCTTTTTCCCATTCATTTCTTTTTACTTTACACTGTTCTTTTCCCAACAAACTTTTCACTTTTTTTTAGATTGTAATTGTTTATCTTTACTTCCGCTCTTTTTCTTTCCCCTTCTCTTTGCTTTAATTTTTTTTTGAACCTTTGACCCCTTTTGGATTGGATGTAAAAAAATTTTGGTTCATACATTCAAAATTCTTTAAAGAAGATTTGGGAAATATTGTAAAAGAGGAATTTTATAATGAACGCGAAAATTTTGAAGAGAGTTACGAAAATAATAAAAAAATCAAAATTGTTTGACAGTGAATTATTTAGGGGAAGATAACACGAATAAACAAAAAAAAAATTTTTTTTTGAGTAGAGCAATGGATTTTAGAGCAATATTTGAAAACTCCAACAAATAAAATTAAAAATAAATTTGTTGTAGAGCAATAGATTTTAACACAATGATTGAGTAAAAGAAAAATTTAATGTAAAAAAAATTCGTTTATTGGGCAGTAGAAAGCCATATATAAGCAAATTTATTACCTTTATTTGAATATAGATAAAAGCAGTTTTAAATAATTGATAGAAAAGCAGTTTTGCGTTTCTTTAGTTTTTAGCGTTTTGTTTTCTTTTGCAATGCGTTCTGGCGTTTTTTGACAGTTGAATGCGCCTGAAGTACGAAAATGCCAGATCGTATTTTTTAAACCCCCAAAAAATTTGGATTTTGACTGAGTCATTACAGAGGTACCAACAATACATACACGAAACGTTTCGATTATTTGTTTCTTATGTTTCGTATTATTTTTGGTGTTTCGTGATTTTTTTTTGAATTTTGTGAGACCTCTATTTTGTAATTTTAAAGCCAAAACTGAAGCCAACTGCTAAAAAATTCCCCCACGTTTATTGATAATTTTAAAATTTTCGCCTGCGGCGCAAAATGGTGATAAGAAAGGTAGGGTTTCTTTTTTGTATTTATTAGAACATTTAATATAAGTGTTCATTAGTGTCGTTTTAAATAATAAGAATAATAAAATATATATATATATATATATATATATATATATATATATATATATATATATATATATATATATATATATATATATATATATATATATATATATATATATATATATATATATATATATATATATATATATATATATATATATATATATATATATATATATATATATATATATATATATATATATATATATATATATATATATATATATATATATATATATATATATATATATATATATATATATATATATATAAAAATCGAGTATTTTTGTGAGAAAAATTAATATTATGTTCGTTTAATAAGGGATTATAACATTTGAAATATGGTTTGATAAAAACTTTTTTGAGCAATGATTTTAGTATATTGTAAAATAATAAAATATATATTGTAATGTTTATATATTATATCCTATACGTTTTTATTAGAGTTGCTGGCGTTTTTGAAAAAAAATTTTTTTTGAAAATTAACCGTTCTTAGAAAATTTTGAAGCCCGAAAACAACATTGAAAATAAGCGATTTTATTTAAAAAAAAGTTCTCCCTAAATAAAACCGGTATTTGCAACTTTAATTTATATGTATATTTAAAAATATTTGTGTAAAACTATATATATATTTTGTGGAAAGTATTTTGGAAGACAGACGAAATAAATAAAAAATGTTTTATTTGAAAAAAAAAGGAAAAGAATAAAAGTCGTTCCTTTCTATCTTATGACACAGACAAAAAGGATTTTATTTATTTATTTTTTTAATTTTCAGTCGTCACTCTTTTCCCCACTTTTATGTGTAAAAAAAATTGTTGTTCGCAACCTTTTTTTTAAATCTTTTTATTGGAATGGACAATGACTCAGCTAAAACTCATTTTTCTTTGGTTTTTTTTTGTGTCTAGGGTAATGTCTTCTGACTAATTGATACTTTAAAGATTGGAAAAGAATATAAAAAAAAAATATATATATATATTTTTTGTTGAAAGTGTTTTTAAAGAAAGTAAAAAAAAATTTTAAAGAAATTTTGAAGAGGAAGAAAAAAAATTGTTTTTCCGATTATTGAAAAAATTGTTGAAGAAAAGTATTTCTTTTTTTTTTGATTGTAGAAGAATTAGTATAATAATAAAACAACAAAGACCGTCAACTCCCTGGGGTTGTCCACCAACGCCAGATCCATCATTCCTTACCAAAATATCTAATTATAATATTTTAAATCAACAAACAGTAATTCAAAAATCTAAATCTGCTGCCCTAGAAAAATTTCCTGAAACTACAGACATCACTGTTGTGGAACAAATTATTGATAAATGTGGGCTAAAGGAAAAAATTGACACAACAAAAGAAATACATCATCATCTTGAAATGAGGGAAGGAAATAATCTGAAACCTAGAATTATCAAAATCCCTTTTATTGATAATGCCTCTAGGGATTTATTTATTAAAAAATTTCGTAGACAACTTTCTTTTTTCCCAAATTTACCAAAAAATTTAAGTGTTAGAAGAGATATGACACCCCCTGAATTGTCGATTCTTTATTCGCAAAGGTCCAAGGCGTATAATCTCAATTTAGCCGAAGGACTTTTTAAATACATTGTTATTGATCTTGACATTATTGAGTTGAGAAACCCAAAACCTTTTAAAACAAAAAATAAATAGGGGTCAAAGAGTAAACCACAAAAAATTGATTCTAAAAAGGCTGACATATTCTCGTGTGTATATCTAAATTCCAGGCCCCTATTAAATAAAGTTAGTAGAGTTATGGGATTTTTGTAAAAAACATTTTATTCTAAAAACTACAAGATAATATAAAAAAATCCTCTTATAATATCCAAAAAACCACAAAACGAGGCAAAATCAGCAGAAATCGTAGCCTTAAACTAAATAATTTAAAAAAAGTTAACTTATTTAAGTAAAGCTTGTGCTGGGCCAGGATGGTGTTGGGATGTTGGGCGGGTTGCGTGCGATGTTAAGGGTCCCGAGAGGCGATGCCGATGAGTATATTGCGGAGCGGAGGGTAGGCCTTTCTATGCGCTTGTATAATGCTGGTCGGTTACGAGACCGACTTGCCCGGGATAATATGCGCTGACTGATAAGCTCTTTGGCTTCTTCTGCAGGATTAATGAATAAGCTCTCAGCTTCTTCGGCCGGTTATTCACTTCTCTATTGATTACTTTCCAACTGACTGCTGAACAGTCGACTGATCCGCTTTTCACTATTTTCCACTTAGTTTTATCCTAAGGCCTTATTTGTCATTCTCCTCCCCTTATTCAATCCTTTCCCAAAGGAACTAATGTTCCTTTTCTCCATCCTTGCCCATCCGGATCAAAGTACGCCTTACATTTAATAATAACCCCACCCGCCCGTTCAAGTAGTTGAAATGTACTTTTGTTTTAATTTTTTGAAAAATTTAATTTATTATAATATGCAGTTAAATAAACAATATTTAAATGTCTGGACCACACAATTTTTAAATTATTTTTTGCTATAAAAGCCGAAAATTTTACTAATTAATTCAAAACATTAAAGAAATTAATTAAATTTTAGAGCTTAAATAGTTAAACAAAATGTTTATTTCATTATTAGCTTTCCTGGCATTGTCTGCCATTATTAATAATGAATGTAATATTTAATTTTATTTCATAATATACAAATTCTGTTTAGTTACTAATGCAATTGATCAAGCTGGACGTGATGCAGTAGTTTATTGGCACAATTATTTCCGTGCTGAATTAGCTGCGGGACGCGTTAAAAACAAAACTGGAGAGTTTTTGCCAAAAGCAAAGGATTTGAAAAAAATGGAATTTTCTTTAGAACTTGAAAAGCAAGCACAGGAATGGGCTGATAAATGCACTTATAGTCATTCGGACCCTTATGGGAATTATGGAGAGAATTTCTATGCTTATGCAAGAAGGGACGATGATGGTATTTAATTATTTAAATAAATCTTATTTCAGGTAAGTGGAATCATGCTTGGTCCATTCTAAAACCAAACATAGGCACATAAAACCATTATATTACCTAAGGATAACTATTGGGTTGGCCAGACCCTAGTTATCACATTTACCAAGCCACACCGGTGTGCTTCTCTTTGGGGCACATATTAAAGACTAACTA